CGTGCTGTCTCCTCTCCTCGCAGGGCTCTCCGGAGGCGGCGGAGGAGGCAGAGGCTCCGGGCCGGGATCCCCCCGCCGGGGCCGCGGCGCGGAGCGGGAAGAGGGCCGCCCCCAGCGGGCCCGGAGCTTTGCAGCCGGCGAAGCTGAGCCGGGCCGAGCTCTACAAGCCGCCGACCAGTGAGGAGCTGAGCCAGCTGAAGGAGACGGAGGACCTTTTCCACTCCAGCCTGCTCCGTCTGCAGGTCGGCCCCGGGGGGGAGCGCTTTGCCCTTCTGGGGGTTAAGGTGGCGGGGGGAGCAGGGGAATCCTGGAGAGAGAAAGCTCCTGGACCCGGAGCTTTCCGGGAACCGCCTGGAAAAGAGACCCCGGGCCGCTGGCAGGCCCCTGAGCCCCACTCCGGTAAATCCGGGCTGCAGCCGCTTCTCTGCAGAAGGCAGGGATAGAAGGCCACAGGCTTTACGAGGCACCCAGCGTATTACTGGTATTTCCACCCCAATTCCCACTGCCATCCCGTGCCAGGCCCTGTGCCTCTTTAACACCGTTAAACTTGAATCCCTCCACCGCATAACGGCAGTGTGGTGGAAGTGTAACTGTTGCGTCCCTCGCTGCTGTGATTTATTGCTTATCGGGGTGAGGAGGTAACATCACTAGGTGCACCTTCCTCCTGTGTTTGGATGAGACAGGAGAGTTTACTTATGTCCTGGGAAAGCAAGCTCACAGTGTTAGGGGGAGGTCAGGCTTGGTGACTGGATGGCTTCTGGCGACTGTAACATTGGTTGCCAGGAAGGGTCATGATAGGACAAGGGGAAACGGTTTTAAATTGGAAGAAAAAAGATTCAGATTAGATCTCAGGAAGAAATTTTTTACTATGAGGGTGGTGAGACACTGGAACAGGTTGCCCAGGGAAGTTGTGGATGCCCCATGCCTGGAAGTGTTCAAGGCCAGGCTGGATGGGGCTTTGAGCAACCTGGTCTGGTGGGAGGTGTCCCTGCCCATGGCAGGGGGGTTGGAACTAGATGATCTTTGAGGTCCCTTCCAACCCAAACCATTCTATGATTCTATGATTTTTATGAGGAGTGGCTTTGATCTCTTGGATACCTACTAGTGTTTGTGGCAGGATCTCTAGGGCCAGGTTCATGGTGTGAAATTGCATGGTCATTTTCTGCAGCTGATACTCTGTCATACGAAAAACCTTTCTGAGAGCTATGCTTATGTGAATGGTGCCATTTTTTTTGTGGCTGGACCTCGCACAGCAGCTGGTGGGATGGAGTTGATAGCCATCCAGCACTTCACAGGAGATGGCAGAAGCTGTGTTATCCTTCTGTCCATGGGCTAACCAGACTCCCACGTCCAGGCAGGGTTTGTGGAGAGGCTCAGCCGTGTTTCCCAGCTCACCTGCTCCCTTCTTGTAGTTTGTACTGGAGGACAAGGTAAAAGGCAGGTGCAATTGCAACATTGCAGCTGCCTCTGATTGTCCCCTTTCCCTCTGTAGATCGAAGAACTTCTGAAGGAGGTGACGTTGAAGGAGACGAAGAAGAAGAAGATTGATACTTTCCTCCATGAAATTAACACCCTGCTGAGCGCCATCCCAGAGACCCCAGAAACTGAAGTATGTTCCAGAGGGCTGGAGGAGGCAGCAAGACCCCTGTATGGAGCAGGCTTTGCTGTTGCTGTGCAAGCAGAGGTCCTCACGGACTGTCTTCTTTGGAGACTAAAATAATAGTACTTTTTCTTGGAGGGGAGAGGCAGATGCTCCATCTTTAAGCCCTGGGTGTAGATACCTGCAGCTGTGTAGGGAGAGGGGGGTCTCTGCAGATCTGCTGTTGGTGATGCTTAGAGTGTTTCATGTGTCCTGTCTGTTCCCAGCTCACTGACCAGACCTGGCTCCCCAAAGCTGTGAAGGTCCCGTTCCTGCAGGTGCCATTCAACGTGAAGGGGAGGTTCCGCTTCGTGCCCCCAGCTGAGCTGAAGGTGGTGGGCAGCTACCTGCTGGGCACCTGCATTAAGCCAGAGATCAACGTGGATGTGGCAGTGACCATGCCACAGGTGAGTCTGGCTGTGCCTGCTCCCATGTGCCTGAGGCCTGGCTGAACCCCGTCCCCTCCTGTCCTCTGCAGCCCCTGCCTTGCCCTCTCCATTCCTGAGTGAGGTTACAGCATCTGGACATGCAGTGTGGTCGTTCCCACAAGGAGCTGGGCAGTGCAATCTCACCCCTAGTTCAGTCAGAGCTTGCAGCTGCTTTAATTTTAATTCCTCATGAGGATCATCCTTCTCTCTGCCTGGGTCTGAACCTCTTCCATGTTGCCGGGGGGTAGATACTGTCCAGCTTTGTACCCCATTGTGCTTCTGCCCCAGCTGTCAAGACTGTGTCTCAGGGAGGGTGATATTTAATGCTTATAAATACTTAAAGAGTGGGTGTCAAGAGGACGGGGCCAGTCTTTTTTCAGTGGTGCCCAGGGGTAGGGCAAGAGGAAACGTGCATAAACTTGAATATAACAAGTTCCACCTAAACATGAGGAGGCACTTCTTCATTTTGAGGGTGGCAGAGCCCTGGAACAGGCTGCTCAGGGAGGTGGTGGAGTCTCCTTCTCTGGAGACATTCAAAACCCACCTGGACATGTTCCTGTGCAACCTGCTGTGGGTGGACCTGCTTTGGCAGGGGGGTTGGACTAGATGATCTCCAGAGGTCCCTTCCAACCCCATTTCATTCTGTGATTCTGTGATTTGCTGGCTGTTACCCCTCTAGAGCTCTCTCCCCTTGCTGCCTGGACTTGATCTAAGGGGGTTTGAGACGAAGTGATGTTTTGTTTGGCTGCGTGGCTGTATTCTGTCTCCTGTGATCCTACAGTCTGGTGATCCAGCAGCAAAGTAGTGCTCCTGACGAACTTGGAGCTCCTTGGGGCTGTAGCCGCATGTCTGAGATCGGGCTGCCTGTGGGGCTGGGGAGAGCGGTGGGTGCTGTAGTGCCTTGGTCTGGACCAGGCTCTGCAGGCAGGTGAGGTGTCATTCCCCTGTCCCTCTCTTCCCAGGAAATCTTCCAGGACAAAGACAACTTGAATCAGCGCTACCACCGGAAGAGGGCTCTGTACCTGGCCCACATCGCCCAGCACTTCTCCAAGGAGAAACTCTTTGGCAGTGTGAAGTTTGCCTACATGAACAGCAACCATCTCAAGCCCATCCTGCTCCTAAGGCCTCAAGGTAGCATTTGAATTTTGCTCTGGTGGAGATTGTGAGCGGGTGCTGGCTTTAGGTACTCATACCATGTAACAGGTCCTTTGGAGACCCTCTCAGTCCAGGTCTGTCATCACAATTGGTGATAAATTTTGGAGTTGTCCTCTCCCTGGGACAGAGCCTAGTCCTCAAAGTCTCTTTCCCTCCCAGTCTCTCTTTGCAGCTTGGCTGAGCTCCCCAGCCTTGCCTTTGCTGGCTCGTGCACCTTGTAGATACTTCCAGGAGTAAAGCAGACCCTAGAAAAACATGCTTGTCTCTCATATTGTCCTTCCTCCCTGCTCTCCTCACCCCTTCCCCCTGCCATTCTCTTGCCTTCCTCAGGTAGCTATGCACAGCCTGGCTTGTCTCTAAGATGATGTGGGATGCATGTGCTGCTGGGTGCTGCTTGTTTCTGCAGACCCCAGGTGATAGTGGATTTAGGTCTGGGACAGGCAGTGGTGTGGCAAGGCCAGGGTGGACAGGAGGATGCTGGGGTACTGCACTGGCCAGTGGGGATGAAGATGGGACTTGGACATGAGCAATGTGACCTCAGGGTTATTGTTGGCTGTGGGATGTGGTTGCTCCCTGCTCTGAGATGATGTCCACGGCTGCTGAGCCCTGCTGGGAGGGAGCTTTTTCTTTCCACAAGAGGGAGATGCTCCCAGTTTTCTCAGATTGTCCTCTGACATCTCTTCCTGCTGCACGTCTACACCCTTGTGCTTGCAGGCAAGGATGAGAAGATGGTCACTGTCCGAATCCATGCCTGTCCTGCCCCGGGTCTCTTCAAACCCAGCCGCTTCTATCCCAACAAGAACAATGTCCGAACAGCCTGGTTCATGGAGCAGAACACCCCCAAAGAAGGTAGGGCCTGAGGCTGGATGGACACCAGGCTGCTCAGTTCAGCCAGAGACTGCACTCAATGCCTCACAAGGTGGGTTTGCTGCAGGCCTTTTCTGTGGTTTGTGGTTGGGTCAAACGTGCTGTTGTCTCCCCACACAGGAACCACCGAGCCCCCGACTCCGCACTACAACAACTCCATCCTCTGTGACACGGTGCTGCTGTCCCACCTGCACTTCTTGTCTAGCGCAGCCACTGACTTCCCAGGCATGAAGGATGGCCTGGCCCTTCTCAAAGTTTGGCTGAACCAGCGGCAGCTCAGCAAGGTATGTCCTGTGCCAGGACACGGAGCAGGAGCCATTTGCCTGGCCAACCTCCCTTTGGCCTCCTCTCCCTTCCTAGGGGTGGAAAGGTGTTTTGGTCCTAGCGGGTGGAGTGGTGGGCTTGTGACTCTGATTTGGGCTGTGTTAGATTTCAAGGAGCTCTGTCTTACCCTGTGGGTTGCAATGAGAGTGTGTGTTGTGCTTCTTTGACATTCTGGAATGATGTAGTGATTCGTTGGTTTTTGTTTGTTTCTTTGTTTGTTTTTTTTTTAATTAATCCCATTTTCCAAATTTGACACATTGCCTTCCTGCAAGGGGATCATCCGTATTTCTGCTTATTGTACAGGGCTTTGCCTCGATGTCTTCCTGGTAGGCTTGGGGGCTACCCTGCTGGAGATAAGAGGCCAGAAGCAGTCATATGTGGTGGACTCTGAGGCTTGTGGTGCCTCATTGAGCTCTTGTTGACTCAGTCCTCTGTTTTCATAGGGCTTGGGGTGCTTCAGTGGCTTCTTGGTCTCCATGCTGGTTGCCTACTTGCTGATGAAACGAAAGATCGTCAAGATGATGAGTGGGTACCAGGTGCTGAGGAGCACCCTTCAGTTCCTGGGTAAGTTTCCTGGGACCATTCTGGGCAGGGAAAGGCTGGTATCAGCAGAGCCTCTCCATGAAGCATGAACGCAGTGAGGGAAGGGGAAATTGTGGCTTTTCTCTCTCTGATGGTGAGACTCTTTGGGTGAGATGGACAGGAGGGGATGAGACAGCTGAGCAGGTCTGGATGGAGCAGCTTGCAGAGGTGTGGGTGGGATGCCACCTCTACAAGGTGGAGGCCAGCGTTGCATTGTAGCACTGTTAATGTTATGAGACCACAGTGGTGTTGCCAGGTACCACTGTCACAGGTGGGGAAGATGTGGATGGTGGTGTGACTTGTTCCTTCCTGTCTGCCCACAGCCACCACTGACCTGAGTGTGACGGGGATCAGCCTAGCAAAGGATGTGGATTCCTCCCTGGTAAGCAACCCTCCAGAGAGGTCTCATGCCTGTGTCTGGCTGTGCTGCCAGTGATGCCTGGGCAGGGACATACTTATTACTGGGATGTCAGATGGCAGCACAATTGTGGTGCCCTGGTGTCTGGGCTGTGCTGTGGCACTAAGGACTACATTTACTCTTCCAGCCTGTCCTGGATGACTTCCACCAGGCATTTGAAGTGGTCTTTGTGGATCCCTCTGGCCTGGTGAACCTCTGCGCTGATATGACTGCCAGCAAATACCACCAGGTACTGAGCAGATTGTGATGATAACCTGAGATGCTGTCTTAGGAGTAAGCTGAGGCAGGCAGAGGGTGGTTAGATATCTTGGAGAAGGACATTGGACATGGGAAAGGGGTTCAGTGTTGCTTTTAAAGCTTTTAACGTCTATCTCCAGCTCCAAAGCTTAGAAGTGAATTTTAAGATTTGGATGTACCTGTCTTGCTTGACTGATGGAGGAAAGCTGTTTTCCTCTTTGTGGGCACCTTTGGATAAAACCAAGCAGCTATTTAGCAGAAATTGTTTTGGAGCAGAAAAAAAAATGACATTGATGGCAGGAAAATCAAGGAGAGACTGTCTTGCCAGTAGCAACAGCTGTCGATGACTTGGCTTTGTGTTGACAACAGAGACTGTTTGGGGTCAGGGTCTACAGGTGACCATGAAGCTGGGATGGCCGTGGTTGATAGGAGAGCATTGGTGACCACTGCTGGGGGGTTTGCTTTTCTTATCCCCTCCCATTCATGCTTTTGCTCTGTCTTGTCTCCTTGCTCAGGTCCAATTTGAAGCTAAACGCTCTATGGAAATTTTGGATGATCGGATGGTGGACGGCTTTCAGGCGCTGCTCATGACCTCAAAGCCCATGCTCAGAGCCTTTGACCATGTCTTCCAGTGAGTGTCACTGTGCCGATGGGGTAATGCTGGGGAGCCTGTTCAGAAAGAAGTGGGCTGCTTCTGGCTGTGGACTGGGATGGGTTGGAACCTGCCTGGTGGGAGGTTACCCTGCTAGCTCTGAGGTAGACACTGCTGCCTCCTGCATTTGGCCATTCCGCTTTTACTGTCTCGGTAGCCTCTCAGGAGGAGGAGGGCAATGCTTTGGCCTTTGGGAATGATGACTGTCCCAAGGACCAGCGTCTCCTGTGGTGCATCCTGAGATGCCAGTGTTTCTTCTTATAGCCTGCATCCTGGGCCAGGACCATCATCTCCCCACTTTATCCATCCTCTAGCATATCTTTCTCTCATAAAGGGTTTGCTGAAAGAGATGGGTGACCAGCTTTCCTCCTTCTTCTGTAGCCTGAAGCATGTCTCCAAGTTGCAGAGTACCTGCAAGAAGATGCAGCTGCTGAACGAGCTGATGGATCGGGGTGGAAACTATGTGGCCGCAGCCCTTCCCTTCGTTGTCTCGCTGCTGGCCCGTGGGCTGGCTGGGAGAGCACTGCTTGTGGCTCACTCCTTGCCCCAGATCCCTGAGGTAATGCAGCTTGGCAATGGTGCTGCATCCTTTGCAGCATGTGGGGTCTCTTGTGTCCCTCATGGCACTACTGGGCATGGGGAGGGTATCTTTGCTCACTGGGAAAGGAGATGGGCCTGTCCCTGTTGTGGGGGTACAGGACCTGAGGTCCTACACTGGGGTATGGGATGCAGGTGGGAGGCTTGTTCTGGGCAGAAGTCCTGGTATGGTGAAAACAACTCTTTTTTTCATTGGGGACACCTATTAAATAAATGAGGTTTTCCCTGTCTGTGCTTGTCCGGACACCTGCACGTAGCAGTAAGTTCATCTACTAGCTCAATATCCCAGCAGCTGCTGCTCCAGCAACCTCATCTCTCCTTGTGCTTCATGTTCCTCATTTTTCCACAGTGGCCGATTGATGCTGAGCCCCCAAAACACAAGGATGTCGGGTCCCTGACATTTGGGCTCCTCTTTGACCCAGAATTTGCTGCCAGTACGCTGGAGAAGGGACCGCAGGCTGATCACCCTGAGGTGAGGGGAGCCCTGCTTGTGCTGAGTGGGGTGGGAGTAGTGCTGGTGGTTGCAGATGGCTGTGGACCTGGCTGATGGTCAGGGGAGTAGTTTGGCCAGCCATGGTGGTGACCCGTGTCCCTGGCCTGCCTTGGCTGGTGTTCCCCCACAGGCCCTGGACTTCCGGACCTTCTGGGGGGAGAAATCGGAGCTGCGGCGGTTCCAGGACGGCAGCATCTGTGAGGCAGTGGTGTGGAAGGCTGACACTATCTGCCAGAAACGCCTCATTCCGGAGCAGATCGTCAGGCACCTCCTGAAGCTGTAAGTTACACCGAGGAGCAGCTGAGGCTGGGGGACCTGCAGCTCTGTGGGAGTCACTGCTGCTTTCCTGGCCTGTTCCACGTCCCTGGTAACCCCGTTGTCAGCTTTGTGCTTTGGGAGATGTTGTGGGTAGTCCTGGTTTTGTGAAATCTGGAAGTAATTTTCAGTTGCGGTCCTGATGCTGCAAGCTGCTTCCCAAGAGAAGGTAGGGAGGGCAAGCACATGCTGCTGTAGCTTCTGCTGATAGAACCATAGCATAGTTTGGATTGGAAGGGACCTTTAAAGGTCATCTAGTCCGAAATCCCTGCCGTGAGTACATCTTTCACTAGATCAGGTTGCTCAAAGTCCCATCCAACTGGACCATGGTAATGCTAAGGGCAAGGAGGCAGCATGGTCCTGCCCTTACTTGCAGATAGGATGTTGGGACGCGCATTATTGGCAGAGCTGGAAGAGAAACTGTCTGGACCTTGCAGGATGTTTTATGAAGTCCTCTGAGACCCTGTAGTGGTTCACAGGTTGGGTCTCCCTACAGCGTCGGAAAACCTCCCTGTAGTAGTTTGTACCTTCTGCCAAATACAAGACCCTCTTGTGCAGAACAAAGAAGTTGTTGGGCCTCTTTATCCTGACTCAAGGAGGGGTCTTGTGAGGGAAGGCTGCATGTATGGTAATGCTAAGGGCAAGGAGGCAGCATGGTCCTGCCCTTACTTGCAGATAGGATGTTGGGACGCGCATTATTGGCAGAGCTGGAAGAGAAACTGTCTGGACCTTGCAGGATGTTTTATGAAGTCCTCTGAGACCCTGTAGTGGTTCACAGGTTGGGTCTCCCTACAGCGTCGGAAAACCTCCCTGTAGTAGTTTGTACCTTCTGCCAAATACAAGACCCTCTTGTGCAGAACAAAGAAGTTGTTGGGCCTCTTTATCCTGACTCAAGGAGGGGTCTTGTGAGGGAAGGCTGCATGTTGGTGGCTTTGAATCCTGTGAAGCTGCACAAGTTGATGGGCTGCTTTGGGTGGATCCGTTGGGCGTGGGAGGAATGCATAGAGATTGGTCTTCTCACTGTGACCTTCCTGTATGGTGGGATTCTTCATCCTTGGACTGACCCTTGCCTGTGCGTGCAGCATGTAGTGTCAGGATGGATGGGTTGGTGTGTTGTAGCTCTAATGCTCTGTTGTCTTTTTCCACATAGCCATGCAGATATTCCCGAATCCTCCATCTGCTACACCGGAGCCCTCTTGGAGTCTGTGATCAGGACTGGACAAGAGGTATGGCTGCTCCCTCTGCGGGGCTGGGGGTTTCCCAAGGAAGAGCTGTATGGGGAGGGGTGTAGGGAGGTCATTTTAGCTTTGTGGCCCTGAGGTAGCTGGGTGGTTCCCAAGAATGGATAATGAAGGTAAAGAAAATTCCTATCTGTGGGCTTCAGTGGGCAGCATGGTGCTCTCCACAGATTTGCCAAGCCTTTTGTGCCAGCCAAAGGCATAGCTGCTGAAGTCCTCTTGCTCTGGCAGCCCCCACACTTCATTTTCCCCTGCAAGTGTCCCACTGGCTTCCTCTCTCTGCTTGTGTCTGCTATGTCCACATTGTCTGAGGATATACCACTGTCCCGCTGTGCTCCTCCAGCTGCACCTTTCAGGTCCTGTGTCCTTCACGACATGGGCCAAACAATTCTGTTCCATCCTCCTGTAGGTCCAGCTGTGAAACCCAGCAGAAGGATCTTTCTTGTCATGGTACAAAGTGCTAGGTCATGCCCACCAAGTCATACTTAATGCTTCAGCTGAATGTGTAGCTGCAACAAAGAAGCGTCACATTGAGATAGAAAAGATACATTTTGGAGGCTGGGAAATGTCACCCTTCCTACTTCTGCTTTCCAACTTGGGAAATTAAAGCCTAGGAGACGAACCATGAGTACTTTGTCACCACTTTGCTGGTCTTTGGTAAAACTAGATTTTACGCAGTTCTTGGATGGAGGAGGAAGTTTCCTTTGCCTCTTCTAAGAGCGAAGAGGAGCAAATCTGATCAAAAGAATCTTCTGTGCCAGGACCAGTTGTGGCCTTGACCTGTGTGTGCCATGTCCCTGTACGCCTAGTCTGGGGCAAGCAGGGCTGGTAAACTCAGTCTTGAGAGGTGATGCACTTCCCCTGATCAGGAGGGCCATTTAGAAATCTGATTGCTCCCAGTCCTTGAGGAACAAAGAAGGAACTTGCTCTTGTGTGTGGGGTGGTGTGTAGGAGTGTCTGTCTCTGCTCCTCCAGCTGTTTGTGTGCAGGCAGCTTGGGTAGTCTGCGGTCGTGGAGGGACATGGGGGACGATGCAGGATGGACAGTGCAGGCAGCTCTAGAGACAGGCAGGACAGGGGTTTGTCGTTCGTGGCACACCCCGCAGAGGGTGCTGCTGCTCTGCTATAAAGCCCAGGCTGGCCGGGTGCATGTGGCTCAATTCAGCTGTGTCTAAGCTGAGCAGTTTGGCATCAGTGATGTCTCCTTCTCCTTGTTCAGGCTCCTCTGCTGCGCTTTGGGGAGATGGAAGCAACAAGGGCTGTAGCAATTCTCCTTTCAGCGCTTCTCAACTGCCCTGCCCTCCCCAGAGCTCCTGCGATACTCTGAATATTTTCTGTTTTCTGTCTTTTTGTCATGCTTCATGTGGCTAAGGATACGGTCAGTGCAGTTTTATGCTATCTCCTGCCTCTGCTAACATCGCAGTAACTGGTGGGGAGGTGGTAGCAGACCTCTCACCCTGCCGGTCTGTGATCTCTTTGCTCCCAAATCACTCTTAGCTTCTCCCTTCTTCCCTAGCTAGAACGCTGCAGTACAGCTTTTGGTGCTGTCTTAGCATCTCACAGAGGAGATAATTTCACTTGCCACTTGAAACGCAGCCTCTAGGATGCCTGTGGCTGCTGGGGAGCTGCAGACAGTCTTGCTCTTGTCTTTCCTCTCTCTCTTACCTCCCCGTTTTGCTGAGTCTTCTTGCCAGAAGCTACTCCCTGGGCTGGCTCGAAGCTTGGCTGTGATGCGGGTGGTGAGATGGGTACCTGTGCAGGAATGGCAGAGGTGAACTGAGAGGTTTCCTGTGTGTCCGCAGGCATCGGGGACGGGCGAAGAGGCCATGGTCAGTGTCATCTGCTCCTACGATGACCTGAGCCGCAAGCTTTGGAACCTGAAGGAGCTGCCGCTGACAGTGACGGCCGTGCAGGGTGTCCATCCAGCCCTCCGGTACACAGACGTGAGTGTCCTTGGGCATGGTATGTGCATGGGGGTCTGCAAGAAGCTGGGGGGATGCCCTGGCTGAGGGGAAAAAGATAGAATTAGTCACTCTCTGCTTTTGTGGTTCCTGAGATCCCTCAGGAACCACATCACCTCAGGGTGATGCAGTGCCTCTTCTTTGCTCTTCTGTCCCTTGGGCTGGCTCTGCACAAATTACCTAAGCCCTCCGTGCTGGATGGCTTTGCTTGGGTGGGAGGTTTGGGGTGAGGGGGTGCATGATGCTGTGGGGTTTCTGCTCCCTTTTTCTTAGTCCCCAGGTGCTTGTTCTTTCCCAGGTCTTCCCTCCCATTCCCATGAAGCCAATTTATTCCTCCCATACCCGACTGAGGATCAAGAACTTGCTGCTTCCCTCGGAGGAGAAACCCTGCCCGGCCTACATAGCCCCTTTGAAGAGTAAGTGGGGAGAGATGTGTGCAAGAGATGATTTGGTGGGGGGAAGTGGAGGCAGGCAGTGATGCTGACTCCATTACTTCTGTGTTGGTGTGCTGCGGGCTCTGCTCTCCTGCTGTAATCTCTAGTCCTGGCCACCCCCATGTAGTGCCTCCTTTCTGTATGGGGCTTACTCACCTCCTGCTGTCCCTTTTCCCCCAGTTATCTGCCACATGGAAGGCAGTGGCCAGTGGCCGCAGGACAAAGAAGCCATCAAGCGCATCAAAGCAGCTTTCCACCTCCAGCTGGCTGAGCTCCTCCACCAGCAGCATCAGCTGGTTTGCAGACCGGCGGTCACCCATACTGATGTGTACAAGGTAGGGGAGTGACAGGGACCTTCTCCAGACCTGACTTGTTACCGAGAAGGCAGGCTGGGGCTGTGGCATGGTTCCACTGGACAAAACCAGGATGGTGGGCATAGGAAGGAGCATAACGAGACTATGGTGATGCCAGGGTGCTGCTGTTGTGTCCCGGAGTTGCAGCGTAGCACGCCAGCTTGCTTATGTTACCACCAAGCTTGACTTCACCTTCTGCTCCCATCTCAGGATGGCTACGTTTTCCGTCTCCAAGTAGCCTACCATCGGGAGCCCCTGATCTTGAAGGAAGTGGTCACCCCAGAAGGGATGCTGAAGTACCAGGACACAGAGGAGTCTCGGCAGCTGGAGATGGAGATACTGCATCTGCCCTATCTAACCAGCTCCCTCCATGGGTAGGTGAGGCAGGGGTGTTCCTGGGGGGCCAGGACATGGGACATACCTGGAAGACAGTGTGGAGGTGCCCTTGGATGGTGGAGGGTGATGGTGGGGAGAGGAACTCACTCTGGGAAATGGCCCTTCAGCCCACGTTGTGTGAGGCGCTGCTGGAAGGTGGAGGGATGATGATGTATGGGGAGGCAAGTACTGAAGAGCAGCATGGTTAGAGAGGAACATGTGACAGCATTTCCTCTTTGTTCCCCCAAAATCTTAACACCCACAGAGTGCCTCATGCTCATGATACTGTGCACACGTTCCTGGCAAATTTTTGCTTTTGGGTCCTGAAATGTGTGGATTGAGCAGTGTCTTGTCTCCCTCCTTGCAGGCTCCAGCAGCAGCACCCTGTCTTTGGCAGCACTTGCCGTCTGGCCAAGCGCTGGGTCAGCGCACAGCTCCTGAGTGACAGCATCTCTGAGGAGTGTGTGGACCTCCTTGTGGCATTTCTGTTCCTCCATCCGGCCCCCTTCACACCACCCAGGTGAGGATGAGGAGCCCAGGTTGGCCTGATGGGGATGTAGTGCTTTTTTCCTTACCTGGTCTGGAGGAGGAGGGATGGGATGTTTCTGAGGCAGGAGGTGCTGAGAAGGGTGCACAGCAGTGAGCGTGAGACCCCTGCGTTGCCAAAACACTGTCCTAAGCCCTGTAGGGAGTGGCTGGCTGCAGGGGATGGGGATGCTTGGTGCTGTGGGACTGTGACTTCCTGTGCCCAGTGTGCTGTAGAGTGAGAGGGGACGGAGGTAAGGGTGGGACCAAGAGTCCTTGTGACCTTTGGGTGCTGGTGGCACAACCGTGGGCTGTCTTGTGCCTTCTTGAGGACTGGTGGGGCTCCTTGATGGCCAGGAAAGCAGGAGAAAGAGCTGCTGCTCCTGGTTTCCCTGGGAGGGATGTTACTGTGGTGCTGGTGGCTGCAGCCTCCCTTCTTCCTGCAGAGGACTCCCGAGGGAAGGGCATGAGGTCAGCTACTGAAATTGTAGTAGTATGTTGGTAGATAACTCCATGGCGCCAGTTGCTTACTGACCCCTGGCAGGTGGACGGGATGTGGCCCAGAGAGAGTGAAATGGAGTTAAAGGGAGTGTTTTTGCTCTTTATGGAGCCAGAAGGTTACTCTGTCCTGCATTTGGGGTCTGGTTTCCTTCCCCAGAGTAGGAAGGAGTAACAGCCGGATGCCTAGAATGCGTTCCTGTCTCCTCAAATAGCCTGCTAGCAGGAGTCTCATCATCCCAGCTGTCTGGCTTCGTGCACGTGTTGTGTCATAGGGGAAGAGGCAGAGTGGGAGCTTGGCTGGTGGTCTTTGGAGCTGCACCAGAGATGGGAGCAGTCCTCTATCCACCTCCCTCTTGCTCCAACCCTGGGAGCCCTATTTGGGGCAGTGGTGGGAGATAAGGTGACTGGGGGCAATGTTTTGCTTTTTTTGCTGGTTTCTTTTACTTTGGGACAGAGGAGCAAGGGGGGAGGACTTTCCCTGGGGATTCAGAGAAGGGGAAGGGCCCCGTCCTTGCTCTGGGCTTCTGTCTTCCACCATGGATGTCCATTTTTGGGCTGCCTGTGGGCTGGGTTATCACTAAGTCATCCCTGAGCACCTCTTCCTGCCAAGGGAGCAAGTGCTGCTGTTGAACTGTTTTGTCTCTCCTACAGCTCTCCTCAGGTAGGGTTCCTGCGCTTCCTCGACCTGTTGGCAACCTTTGACTGGAAAAACAACCCTCTGATTGTCAACCTGAACACCGGCCTCACAGGTGAGCAGGCAGGGCAGAGTCACGGCATGAGGGTCATGGATACATGGGGGTGGTCATGGCTTCTGAGGGGACAAGGAGATTTTCCCCTCCCTTACCCTGTCCTGCCATGCTTTAGAACCTTCTGCTTCTTTGTAGCCAGCGTTTTCGCTTGAGGCTTTGCCCTGGCTCTTGGCAGCCAAACCTTCAATTGTGCTGGGAGAGCAGTTGGGCTCTGGAGCAGGAAGCTTCAGAACCTTCTGCACTGTGTCTGCTCTGAGAGCACAAAGCCTGCAAGGGAAAGGGGCTACAGTCCTCCATGTTTTGATACCTCCTGAGTGTTGAGAATTTCCTGGTGAAGGTCTCTGTTTTCCAAAGGACCATGTTTGAGCATCCAAGTGCACCTGCTTTCCTCCTGTCTTCCTTGTGTTCTGTCTGTTGATCATCTTTTGGATACATGCTATCTTCTCTCAGGAGCCAGAAGAAACCACGGGATTGTCTTGGCTTTGGGTGGTGGTGGGGAGGGGGAGGTAGTTGTGCCCAGCTTTTAAAGCTTGTTTATAAGAAAAGGTAAAGCTGCTTGGGAGTGGTGTGGGTATTGCCAGAGGGAGCAGCTTTTTCTGTGTGTTTCAGCACTCCTTTTGAGAGAGTGAATTGGGTTTTGGAAACTGATATTTTAATACCTTCCAACTTTTTTTAATGAACTAAATGGGAAGTATTTTTAGCCAAAGAGCTATCTTTTTCTCTGCTTGAGGGGGAGGAGGGGAAAAGTAGAAAATTCTTTGGGTACAGACTCTGTTGTTAGTTTATAATGTGAGTTCCCAGCCGGTGTCAGTCCCAGTGCCTGCCATGTTTTGTGCCTTGTCTGGGCCCGCCTGGGTGGGTTTAGAGGAAAGGCCAATCTAGCCCCGCATCCTGTCCCCAAAACTTCCCACAGGCAGATGCTGAGGGAAGCATGAGAGAGAGCAAGCCTGTGGTGATGGAGCTCTGGTTGCACATGGACTGTGGGATCAGAGGGGGGGAGAGGAAAAAGCCTGTTATATTGATCTTTTCTGGGCTGCGATACATGGGCGAGAAGGCTGGAGGGCTCTGAATGGGGCAGAACATCTCACCTGTCTAACTGCCCTCTCCAGACACTGACTGCACAGAGATCAAGAACAAGTTTGTGGCTGCTCGTGCTCGCCTCCCTGTCATGTTTATAGCCACCCCCAAAGACCAGTGGACCTCCATGTGGACCCAAGATCGACCCTCAGCACAGGTGAGCTGGGTCCTCAGTCATTGCCCTGTGGTGGCTATTGGCTTGGGGCAGTTCCCTGTTCCCAGAGCTGGAATCAGCTCCAATGGCCCTCTATGTGAGTGCAGTCCCTGCTACATATAGGACTTCAGAATTTCACCCTCTGGATTTCTTCCCAGATTCTGCAACGCCTTGTTGTGCTAGCCTCAGAGTCTCTCCGTGCCCTGGAGGAGCAGCTCATGGACCCGCTCAACAGTCAGGATGTGAAGGTAACCCCCTGGGGTGCCAGCACAAGGGTTATCAGGCTCTGGCAAAGCATACTGGTCTTCAGTTATGATTGATGAGATGTGTTAGGATCATAGAATTGTTTTGGTGGGAGAGGCCTTTAAGATCATTAAGTCCAACTGTTAACCCAGCACTGCCAAGTTGCCACTAAACCATGTCCCTCAGCATTACATCTACCCATCTTTTAAATACCTTTCAGTGAAGAAGTTTTTCCTAATATCCAATTTGAACCTCCCCTGGTGCAACTTGAGGCTGTTTCCCCTTGTCCTATTCACCGTTACCTGGGAGAAGTGACCAGCCTCCAACTCCCTACGGCGCCTTTCAGGTAGTTGTAGAGTGATAAGGTCTCCTCTCAGCCTCCTTTTCTCCAGGCTGAATAACTCCAGTTGCCTCAGCTGCACCTCATAAGACTTGTTCTCCAGACCCTTCACAGCTTTGTTCTTTTCTAAACAAGGATGTTCAGAGAAGGTGTTAGCAGGATTCAGGCTGTGGCCCCATGTGGTCACCCCAAGATGAAGAGCAGTGAAGATGGGAGCTGGGAGACTGGTGCACTGCTGTGCTACCCTGCTTCTGGAAAACCCAGCTCTGGAGAGCAACTTGGAGTGAAATATCATTCACTGGCAAAAATTTATTTTGTATTCTCTGGTTTTCTTGGTACATGAGCACACCTGCAGTGTTCCTGTGCCAAACTGATCGCACGTCCATGGCTGGAGCAAATGGTGCCTCTGGGAGACTCTGTGTTGGTGTAACTGCAAATCTGGCTTGTTTGCTGGAGTCTAACCAAGCCCAGTGTGGCAGAGGTTTTGGTAGGATGCTAACAGGCACTTACGGAAGATGTTATTTTGGTTTGAGCAGAGGAGCAAGGCTGTGTGTAATTTAACCCTCTTCACTTTCTCTTTTAAGTTAAAACATCCATTACTCAAATGGACCTGGTTGATGCAGACAGTTATTTGCCCTTTGAAGGGAGATATGTGTATTTTGGAGGGGAACTTGTTGGCCTGCCAAGTAATGACTTAGGCAATTGAAGCTGAGAGGTCTCAAAAAGCCAAACAGTGGTTAGATATGACAGATTCATATTGGAAAAAAGCCCTCCCTGAGTGGTGGTGTTTTGTTGTGTTTTGTTTTTTTTTTTTTCCCCTGCCTAGGCAATATAAAAAGCATTTACTGACATTCCTTTCAGTTCTGGACATTTTACAGGGATGAGATCTGCTTGAGGCTGCAGCAAGACGTGTTACAGGGCTGTGAAGGAGTGAGACACTTAGGTGTGAGATGTGCCTGGTGTGCTGCAGTTGCACAAGACTAAAACCCAAGAGATGCAGTGTGAACTGGGGGTGGCTAGCTCCTGAAACAAGCCATTGCCTGTTCGTAGCATCCTCCCAATTCCCCAACCCAGTCTTCTTGGTCCTTCTTTGCCCTCCTCTCCCCTTGGCCATCGCAGTGGGATCCTTTCTTATCCCCAAGATGTTCCTCTGATCCACTCTAGCATACTCCCAGGCCTGTGACGTTCCTTAGGGATAAACAGAAGACACTATTTCCAGGGCTGCTAATCAGTTTGTAATCAAAGCATGTGGGTGGAAGGAGGGAGAAGCCTTCCCAGTGCAAGTTGGAGTTGCCTTCTCTTTCCATGTGTCTAAGAGGATGCTCCAAGTTTTTTTTAATCTGCATTTGAGTCGCTTGAGGACATGCCCCCCCCTCTCCTGCAGATGCAGAGAGCGGTTTGTGAGGTCCGTTTTCTTTGCTCCCAGCAGGGTACGATAAGCCATGGACTTGGTCATCTTGGTGGGAAAGGAGGTCTTTGTGGACCAGAGCTGGAACTTGGTGCTGGTTACTGATGTTCTTCATATCTGTTCTCCCCAGCCTGGCTATAAAGCAGCTCCAAACAGTGGGTTTTCTGCCAGTGCTAAGTTTGACAGTGTCCCATGCCTCTGCTCATATCTCCACATCATTTATTCCACCAAAATGTATACATAGTTTTAAGGTTTTTTTCCATTTTAATACAGCTTTTATTCACTGTGCCAGATCTTGCTTGTCCAAATATTTACGTGTCTGGGATTGCTCCCCTCCATTAACAGGGCTTGCTCTCAGCCTCTCTCTGCTTGATTGAGGATGCTGGTGCCTTCTGGGGCAACTCCTGTTGGACAGATGGGACCATCCTGTTATGACACAGCTCCTCATGTTCCTTAGGTGTTGTCTGGCTCTTGTTGGCTTCTTGACTCCCATCTTTGTCCTGGGATTTTACCATGTGTAGCACGATTACCTGTCTCACTCAGGTGGACTTCCTGGGGACTGTGGTCAGGACTGGAGAGAAGGACCACATTGGCCCCATGGAAAGCTCTTCTTTGGGGACTGTACCCAAGTCCTGGGGACAGTGGTTAGATTTTACTGCTGACCTGGTAAACTGATAGGGTAGGGACTGTAGTTCTTCTGGCTAGATGTCTGATGTGGGCAGGGAGCATCTCCCTTCTCTATGGGCTGAGCTTGCTGTACAGTTGGGCTGTGGCAGTCCAGTGTGTCCTCTCTGGTGCCCTTTGGTGGTCCAGAGAACATTTAGCCTATCAACCAGGAGATAGCCATGGGGAAACCACCTTGCTCTCAACAGAGTCCTTGTTACAGCAATTGTATGGGGTGCGGAGGAGTGAGGGTCACTTCCTTCTGATGAGAGCAGAGCCCATACTGGATAGGGGACATGTCTCACCTCAGAGGGAATGGGGCTCCCTGTGGCTCCACTACAGCCATGTTTTTCCTGTGGATGTTTTGGCAAAGTTCTGGCATTAGTCTCACAAAATTTTGGCTTTAGTTTACTGCTTTCTCAGGAGAAGGAAATAAAATGTAAGCAAGGACTTGGGAAACCTCTCTCATCTCTCTTGCTCACCTGTGTCCTATATTGAGTAGCACTGGTCTTTTCTTCCTGCAGATGGTCTTCCGCCCTCCTTTGGACTTCTATGACGTACTAATCCACCTGAATCCAAACCAGATTCCTCGGCATCTGGAGAGTGTGGACCGGCCACTAAAGTCATTTTCCCGGGGTGTGGTGAAGAACAGCACTGCTGTGAAGATCCTCTTTCCTGTGGTGGACTATGACCCTGTACAGTGCTACCTGCAGGAGCTGAGAGTAAGCATGGCCTTTTGGGGAGGCACAGGGGGCTACCTGGCTAAGGGGGAACTGCTTTCTGGCATTCAGGTCACTAGAGGCCTGCCACTGCAGGACCTAGTTGGTGAAATCTTTACGTAGTTTGTGTGTGATGATCACTCTTTGTGTGCACCTGAAATCATTCCTTCAACAGAAGAACCTGGTGCATGCACTGCTTGTTCCATGGAAATGGGAGTGCTACTGATGTGAGAGTGACCTCAGATACAAATCACCTGGAGGTTTTGCTGAAGAATATATTTTAGTACAAAAGTATCTTTAAGCCATTTGTCTCTTGCCTGTTAAATGACTTTTCATGGCTTCTTGCACCATCTGGGGTGCATGATGGACAGTAGCTACCCATATTCTCTGGAGGTATGTACAAGAATCCACGGCATGGTACCAGTGTGGCTCCTGCTGTTAGGCCAATGGTTGCATGAGCCGTAGAGGCTGAATATTGGTCACAGGATATGTTTTCTCTGGGGCTGGTTGCATGCATGATGACAGAGGGAGTTGGTAATGTGGGTATATGCAGAACACCAGTAGCCAAAGTTCCCAACCCAGTGCTTTTCCACTGTGTAGCCATGCCAAAGTCTCAGCAAGGTGGGGAGATATGCAAGGTGTTGGGTGACAGCAGTGATCCACCTCAGATCTGGACAGCCAGTGCTTTGCAGATGTGTAGCCTCTGCCTTTGGCCCTTCCCAGCTTTGTGTGCAGCAGCTGAGTAAATGTTAGCGTGCGGAGAGGTGGGGTTGTCATGCCCTTTTTAAAAATCTGGCTTGCCTTTCGAGTGCTGTCATCCTTTACCTGTGGAAATGCCGTGCACAGTGTAACAGCTGCTGTAGGAATCATAGGCTGGCTCTTGCAGGAAGGGTGTTCTGGAGATCTCTGGCAGAGCCAGCTTTGATGTTAGAGGAGGTTGCGCAGAGCCCAGTCCTGTTGAATGCTGACTGTCTCCAGGGGTGGAAATTTCTCACCTCCTTGTCCCAGTGTTTAGCCATCTTTGTGAAAATTTGTTCCCTAATATCAGGCTGGGATTTGCCCTGTTGCAGCGTGTATTGGCTCCTTGGGTCACTGCAGCAGCTAGGCTGGGCTAGTGGCAGCTTCAGCTGTGCTCTGGCAGCTTCTGACTGGCCCTCCCAGCCCTTCTGGGCAGCATGGCAGGTCAGAGGCTTTCCTCTTTCCCTTTTCCCGACCAACACACCAGGAGGGTTTTGTCTACCTTCTCATACTCCTTCACTGAGAAAATAGATGTGCATGCAACAGAAAAATAGCTTTTGGGTGGTGTCTCTTCTCTTCCTGGGCTGCCTTCTGCAGGCTCTGCAGCGTTTAGCATTTGCTGGTCCTCAAGCACAGCCTGCATAGCAACCGAGTGCTTTCTCTTGGCTTGGCTGTGGTTGTAGCTGCAAGGAGGGACAGTAGAAAGGGACAAATCTTGCCTCCAGGTCCATAGAAAGAATTGCAGGGGTGCTGAATCAAAACTCCAGTTCAGGCTGGAAGATGCTGGGCCCTTTAGGTTGAAGCTCCCCTTTCACCTTAACCAAAGTAGTTTAGGAAGTGGCTGAAGGAAACTTGAAAGGATTTCTTTGAAGGTTTCCTCAACCCTAGTCACAGCTTCGTTACCTCCCATGCTGTCTGCCATCTGCATTTCGTGCTGATTTCTGTCCAGTCTATGGGAATCTGCTGTGGCTTCAGCAGAGCTACCAGGTCTAGCAAGGTGCAGGTTTGGTCCTTTTGTCACTCACAGTAGGTTGCAACAGTCTTGGGGTGTGTGTGTGCAAGGAGGTGAGAGACAGGGATGCATGCAGGACCTCTTTAAATTGAGGAAGACTTCAAAATTGTCCCACAATTTCCCTGCAAGTAGCACTGCTTGTTTACCTGGAAAGTCATGGAGGGAGAAGGGAGGGGAGAGAAGGTACTCAGTGCTTTCCTGCTTTCAGGAAGGAAGGTGGGTTTGAAGATGGAGGTCCCGTAGGACACATTGCAGAGAGTATTTAGCAGGTTTCTTGAGGTCCCGGATATGCAAGAAGAAAGGGCAGAAGTACCCAGCACAAGACTTTTTTAAAAGGGAAGAAAAGGCATGGTGATTGGGAACTGTTCACTATTTCACTCTTTCCTGGCGTCTGGATCTGAGGAGGAATATCAACACCAGCCCCTCTCTTCTGTTCGCTGTGTGTTGAGGATTTGACCTGCCACCATGAAACCTCAACCAAGATGCGTAGGTTGGGACAGGAAATTGAGTTTCTTAAGCCTGAAATCCCTCTCCACACCATGCTGTAAGGAGGGGTTAGAGTTGAAGGGAGCCTTTCAGCAGCTGCCAAGGTGCTGGAGGTGCCTGCATGCCCCGGGCCAGAGCCTCTGAGGCCTGGCAGAAGGATGCCTTTGTGCTTGAAGAGGAACTGGAGGCTGTTGGATGAGCCAATGGCGAGAGCAGGCTCCTTGGGGAGGCTGTTAACAGGCTTGCAGCGTATCGTGCTGTATATCGAGGCAGTCAGTTGGGAAACTCAACAGGGTGTGTTGCAGTTTATAGGATGTTTTTGTGCTTCTAGTAAGCTTGGTGTCAGCAAATGGCTCCAGAAGTGAAAGGTGCAGAAGAGACTTCCCTGGAAAGCAGCTTTCATTATCCTTTAAGCAGTTATGACTTAATTGATCCAGTCATTTATGACATCCAAACTGAATTTTACTGTCCGTTTTCTCTAATAAAGGTAATAACAGAGTCAGAATAGGGTTTGGTTGGGTTACAAATTGCAGCTGGTCCTAAATCCAATATAGTAACAGCCCAGTGAAGAAACATGGATATAGCAAAGGTCACATTGCCTTGCTGGAAGCAGTGTTGTATTCACTTGGTGCCTCTCATTCTTTGGCCCAAGGGTGCTTGGGGGAGGAACAGAGCAGGAACTGGTCAGAGGTTTCTCTGAAGAGCGAGCCTGAAATCTGCCTCAGCAGCTTTGGCTGGGGGGCTTTTCCTCCTTTTGAAGGCTCTGAGATATGTATGGCTGTGTTCCCTTGCGGCTGTCATACTGGAGGTATCTTGCAGTACCAGTTCACTTGGCTCTTGTAGCTTCCAGATCCAGTAGCAGGCAGACCTGAAGGGGCTGATGAATATCTCTTTCTGGGCAAACAAGTGTTTCTTCTGGAAAAATCAAAGAGGTGACACTGCACGTTCTCTCCAGTAACTCAGCCACGACCACCTGTGTTGGAGGGCCTCAAAAGCTGACTTTTCACTGCAGGGTCATCAGGTGATGGATACTGTGATCGAAACTACCCCATCAGAAATCATGTACCTCTGTGTCTGAGTACCAGTTGTTGCTTGAAGGCATCGGCTTTGTGCTTTGACCTAGCTTTGGTTGGTAGCCCCTCCACCACCTTTGTATTTCTCCTTCCCTGGCTTTTGGTTCTCAAAGCAGCATTCAGCTTATCCCCATCCTGCAGACTGGGAACCCCAGGGCTGGTCCAAACAAAGCAAGAAGTAGGTGCTGGAAAGGAGTGTGGTGACAGCAGTGAATCCTTACGAGAGATTTTGGAAGTGAAGGCACTTGGATGCAGAACTGGCTGGCTTTGACTCAGAGTAATTTGCTACCCCTTAATGGCACAAAGCACAGACTTGAGCAACAGGATTGTAGCTGAGGCTGACGGTGCAGTCGTAGTGGGTTTATAGCAACAAAGGGAGACACCTGCCACGCAGCAGCGCTGTGGGATTTTGTTCTCTTCTATGGGCAGAAAAGAAACATCTGCCCTTTTCTGGGCTTGACATGTGAAAAAGGGATTTCAATGCCCAGGCATATTGATTGGGTTGAGGGGGACAGGTCATACCATCTTCCCCAGTTTTCGTGGCACAGTAATCAGGAGACCCACTTTTCTCCTGTCCAACCTGTTTTCTCCTGAGAGGTCCTTGTTCTTCACAAATCAAAGGGGTTAGCAAGGCATGAGTGCTCTGGAGCCAAAGGATTGCTGCGTGCCTTCCCCATGGAGCCTAATCATAGGAGAAAATGAAAGGAGGGGAAGTATTGAGTCCTGACTACTTTAATTTTTCCTGCTCCAAGGAGATGTGCTGCAGGAGCTGGTCTGATGAAGTTGTTGTGGTGCCTGGGAGTCTCTGGGTAGAGATGAAAGGTTGGTCATGGGATTCAGATGGCAAATTCTTCAATTCCAGGACAGATCTGATAGAAAGGGCCTGCCTGGGGAGTCTGTCCAGATGAGAAGGCTTTGCAGACAGACGCTTTTGAGGGAAAGCAGGTGCCAGACGTCCTGCAGAGAGGGCTTCCCTGGAGCTTTAGCCCATCACCAGCCTTCCTGGTGCCTACAGTCTTGAGCAACTCAGCAAGCAAACCCTGGGTCTGGTCCCAGGGGGAATTGTCCAGCAAGGCTAATTTGAGTTTAAGTGTCTTATATGAAGCTTCTGTGGCGTCTCTGTCTTGACTGCTGGTCTTTGACGTGGTGGCTGTTGAGCTGGAGAACCCCCAGCTCTTTGCTGGAGACGTATTGTGGAAAGGCTCAGTCGGTGCAGCTTTTACTTGAGGGTGGCTTGGCTGTCATTGAGCTCAAGGGATGATCTTTCTGCCTGCACGCAGTGAGTCCTGTGGATGTACTTGCCGTGCCCATCTGCATGCATTCAGAAGCTCACAAAGCTCAAAGGCTTTGGTCACCTCCCTGGGGTCCAGAGCTGGTTTCTCGTGGTGGGGAAAATGGTATGAAGCTGCCTGTGCCATGTCCATGTAATGACTGTTAAAAGACCTAACATTTCTTAAAGGATCTTTGGTCTCAGTGGGTCACTGGGTGTGAAGCACTTTGTTTTCACTGAGCTTTAGCATTCTCTGGCCACACACGTCTATCAGAGCTTGTGGCAGAGGAGCTGCCCATCTTGTACATGGGAGATCTTTCCTGTGCAGATGAGCAGGAAAATGTTTCCTGCTTTACTGTAAACAACCTTCCCTCTGAAGCAATGTTTTGCATTTCTTGCACCTTCAGACAAGACCTATCCAGAAGACTTACAGCCCTTTCCTTTCTTCCTCCCACTACACAGGAATGCCTATCTTGCTACTGCATGTTAGGAAGGAATTAATGACATTAAAAGTTCTCGGTCTCTTATAGTATATAAGCTGTGGTTACGGGAGGTAGCTGGAACTGTTGAAATTTCAGGTCAGACTGCTCCCTTCCTGTTTTGACTGACAGGCTTGACTCCTCCTATGGACACTTCCAGACAGGCAGAGGTGAACTGAAAAGCCTCTGTGGGCTCTGGTAGCACGGAAAGAACTTTCCTGTCTGGATCTGTGCCTTTGGAGGGGCAGAGATGGCAGGAAATTCCCCACTCTTACAGCTTCAGAGTGGCTGTGTGACTCTTAGTGTAGTGCCAGGGCTGGATTCAGACATGTGTGCATATGCACACAGGTGTGTATTGAGGCATCAGCCCCTTGTGCTCCTTGAGTGAGCTCAGAGGGTACCTGTGGCTACGTTTGTCCAGTCTTGGTGATGCCTTGCTAGAGGTCTGTCTTGGATTCGTTCCACAGGAAGCGACCAAAGACTTCCATCGCAGATGGTTTGGTGGACAAGGCATGTTTGTGAATGCAGCCAGAGCATGGGTAGCTTTTTCTGTGCCATATTTGGCTGCTGCCTCAAACCCCTGGGACAAGGATGTGCGTGTGGGTCTGATGAAGCACTCGGAAGTGGAAAAGCTTGGATAGTTTGAAACACTTTTTACCAGGTGAATCCGGAACCTGACACACCTGTTCTCTTTTAAAAGAGAAAAAGGCTGTTTTTTTCCCATGGTGCTACTTGCTCTGTTTGCATATGGGGGAAGGCTCTGCCTGTACCGCATAACCTGTGAGCATCAGGGCAGGTCACAGTAGAATGACAAGAACTTTAAAGTGTTAACCACAAGTGGAGTGATTTGTTGGAACTAAGTAGCTTTAATAGGATTTTATACTGGTAGATGACTTGCTGAGAGCACTTAAAATGTTCAAAACACTGAGCAAGTGTTGATTGATGCATTTGCCACTTGAACTGCCGTCGCACCAGGAAGAGCTGCTGGGCACATTTTGGTGCAGAGGCCTCCCCAGAAAGGCTCTTCTTTTTCCAGCAGCTGTGATGTAATGACCCTGATCTCTGGGTATATGTAGGAGCGGTGAAAAAGTGGGTGGATAAATGGTTAGGCCAAAAAAACCCACCCCTAAACAACAATGATGTAGTTGCTTAACTGGCAATGAGCACTTACCTCATTGCAAAATGCATGCTTCAGCCCAAGCTGCTTAATCCAGTAATCCCCTTTTAGATCAGGGTATTGTTTTACTCACCACCTTTCTCCATGCTTTCGTTCCTACAACCCAGGTGGCTCCTTACAGACCTTGAGCTAATCTTCCAGGTGCAATGTACCCCTTTCCTGGACAATGAAGCTCCTCTGAATTGCAGCCCTGAGTTTGCAGGTCCCCTTTGTTTCTGTGAAGTGGGAACCAGATGTAGGTTTTGCTGATAGCTGGGATCCTCCTGGGCAGGGAGAGCTTTCCCTAGGCCTTTAAAGCTGAATTGCAAGGAAAGATACAGGAGCTTGAGAAGGGTATTCCCTTCAAGGGAATTCCCTTCAAGGGAATTGAAGGGGTTCAAATGTGCTCCGTGCCTTTTCTCCCCCTTTCTCTTAATCTTTCCCTTGAGGAAGGTGTTTGCAGGCTCAGGCAAGTCCAGCGGCACTGGGCATTGAGCATGGGATGTGGAAAGGGAGGTGAGGACTGTTTGCTTTTACTCCCCAAGCCTCTGTACAAACATAAATGCGGTGACTAATACATCAGACCCTTTTAATGCTGCAGTTTCCCAAGAGCTGAATGTTCCATAGCTTGGTGGAGCTGACCCAAAGCACTGCCATGAGAATGACGCTGGGAGCAGTGCAAGTGCAGAAGCTTGTGCTTTGCTGGGATTATGAGCTGAATGCCATCCTTTTAACCTCTGCTCTCTGCTGTCTGGATAAAAAAAAAAAGGTGCTGGGTATCAGGCTTGAACAGTGGTTTTATTGGGAAATGAGCTGAGCCTGGGAGAGCTCCTTTCCTGCAAGTGCTCCTGGCTCCTGTCCAGCAAGACAGGCCTGTAAAAAATATCTTTCTCTTAGGGAGCATCTTAGGGGCACTCGACCTCGCCCTGTAGAGTAGTGGGGCTTTTTCAGGTTCTCACATGTTCTGCTCCCCTCTGCTTCGGAGAGCTGCACGTTGGCGGTCAGCGTGCCCTTTGTTGAGCTTTCCCTCCCTCCTACTGTTTGCCTTTCGGCAGAAGGAGGAGTCTTCCCTGTTGACTGGGCTCTGAGCGTAACCCGTCGCTCTCAGCTGAGAAATGCCAGGGCGGGTTGCCTCTTTCTCAATGTATTTTTAGGCAGTGGTTTTTCTAGCCAGTCTGTCAAGAGTAATGCCTTGACCAGCCTTGCCCCCCTGAAGATCCCATGAAGTGGGGTGAGCTGGCAGGTCTCAGGATCTTTCCAGCTTTATGGCCTAATCGTGTTGCCCTCTGTTTGTGATATTTCAAGTCTGAACTCATAAATCTGGCTCTGAAAGTTCCAGACAACTCCACCCCTCCCTACTTATCAGGTCTTTACTCTTAAAATGCCACCCCACCCTTTGGGATCACTGGTAATACCAACTCAATCCACATTTTTCTCCTCCTACTGCAATCTTGGTATGTCCATACAAGACCCCTTCCAAGCTTGCCTTTGATGTTGATTATTTTTTGTGCACATCTGCATGAAAACCTCATGAGACAATGATGCCAGCAGAGATCTCTCTTTGTAAGAGCATGGGTGAGTTGTGTCTGGAAATTAAGGGGATGAAGAAGAAGAAAGAAGAGGGAGCAGAGTATCTGTATTTATTGCAGTAGGTAGCTCCAAAGCTGGTGAGGCCATGTGCAGAAACTTGTTCTGTACTGATGCTGGTGGGCTGTTTGGTCTGCCTGGTAAACTGATGCTGTAGCCTGATGTTAATTTCCACCAAGATAAACAAGTCAAGGAGCAGCTTCTTGGATATCTTGGTCAGCTGCGCTCAGGGTGTGCATCTCCAGGTACCTGTGTGTTGGGTGCTGAGCTGTAGGGCCAGACTTCTGGGTTTGAAAAATTGCTTACACCCAGCATTGTTTAATTCTGCTGCCGTGGTCATCCCCTGCCTTCTTGCAGAGCTGGGAATCCGGCTTGTGTGGGCCGGGTGGAAACCAGACTGTGGCCTTTAGTCATCTCTTTATGCCACATCTCTTTTTGAGCTCTTCTGCCCAGCACTACTGCAGGAGCTGCTCATTGATGCAGCTGCTGAAACGCAGGGGCAAGGATAGCAGATTCCTGCAGTGCCTCCATTGACCATTCCATCTCTTTGCACCTCATAGGACTTTGTGTTACTTAAAATTACTGCTGTTATGTTTCCTTCCTGGACACTGTGTGCTGACAGGACTCATGGGTTTGTCCTGGGGGGAAGAAGGAGCTTTGACACCTTTGTTGCACAGGTTGCAGAGCTTGAGGTGTTGGTCTTTGCTGCCATGTAATGTAACGTATTGCTGTCTGATGCACTGTGAAGTTTTGGACACGGCTGTTGGACACTGAGATAGGAGGGCTTGGTAGTGCCAGATCCAGCTGTTGGAGGACCATGGTGAGGAACACTCAATGGGTTGTCACTCAAGGGGTCCAATGTCCCTAAAGATGGAAGCTGATTTCTCAGTGCTCTTCCAGGCCAATGGGAGGTGGTGGATCATGTTTCTGCTTTCTGGGACAGCAAGAGGTGGTGAGCAATGAGGTCTGCATGAAAAATTTGCAGACACTGCTCTGTATCCATCAAGACTGCAGAAGAGGCAGCAGGAGGCACCTAGGACTTGTCCATGGGCTGCCAGTTGCTTTCCTTGTTGGTTATCCAGTAGAAGAGTTGCAGCTTTGGTCCTGGCTGGTGTGGAGCTACTGTGTGTCCAAGCGTAAGGAGACTGAATCAGGGATGGGCTCTGGCTCTGGGATGTCTGGCACAACCTTTGTTTGTTTTCTTTCCTAGGATGCCTTCAGTGATCTTGCCTTGTTCTTCTATGACAAGCATGGAGGGGAAGTGATTGCAGTTTTGTGGAAACCTTTGAGCTTCCAGCCTCAGCCTTTTAAGGTGAGTTTTTGACTCTAAGCTTCATATTATCTTTATGCCCTGAAAGCTTGGAGAGCTTTTTTTTATTTCTGCATTGTAATTGTTTTGTCTTACTCCTATCAGCACCAAAGGCCTTTGAGAAATGGAGCTCATATATGTGTCCCTGCTTGGAAAGGGTGAAACCAAGACAGGGCTGTGGCCACAGTGGCCCCAGTCATCAGCAGAGCAAAGAAGGGAACTTGTGTCCCTGGACAAGCCCCAGCACCGTGATCATGGGTCAGAACAGGATGCTCTGTCCCAGGTGCTCTTCTCTGGTCCCCTCCTGGGAGAAGGGTGATGCCTCGTTTGCCAAAGACATTTGGTGTGTCCGGCAGGCTATCCTATTCTCATAGCTTTGGTCATCTTGCCCAGAAATGTCCAACCTGCAAGGTGGTGGGGTAGCAAGCCTAGGTTCACAGTGCCCAAGTCCTGTTCGATGTACGGAGATATTTTCCAGCTACACTGTGTGGGTTGGAAAGCTCTGGAGGGTGGTTAAGCTAGGTGTGAGGCACACTGGAGTGATTCATGCTGCTTTCTATGAAGGAGAGACGCAAAGAAACCAGTGACTCATGGCTCAGAGTTGCCAGCCCAGGCTCCTGCTATCTGTCTCTGGGTGATTTATCTTCCCTCTCTTCATGGCCAGAGGGCATTGGACATTCAGCCTAGCTGCAGTTGTGAAACGCAGTTATTCATGGATGTGAAATGAGAGGAGGACGTGCTTGCATCTGAGCTGTGTGTGGCTTGATTTAAACATGAGGATTTTTTTTATTTTTTTTTTTTACCCTGGTGTAGCCAAAGATCTCTTCCCACTTGAGTTTTTGCACCCAACAACAGAGCAGCGAACAGGCAGCTTTTATTCGGGGTCATGGTGTGGTCCTTTTTGCATACCCTGTCTTCTCTGCTCATACAGGCTCTGCCATGCACCTGTACACTCTTTTCCCATCTCCACCATGCCCATGGCCATTGTTTCTCTTCCTCCCTTGTGGTCTTTGGGCTGTAGCTCCAGGGTAAACCCTAAAAGGAACTGGTAGGGCCACTCTTGCAGTTTATTGGCTCTAATAACGAGCAATGATGGTGCTGAGAAATGAAGCTTAAAAAATTGTGTGTAGTGATGTGGTGGGGATTGGGTGTGACAAAGCAGGAGAGCAATTTACTTCTCCTATGTGGGGCTTGCAGAGGTCGTGAAGCAGCTCTGAGTGGGTGCACTTTTGTGCAACGTTTGTTTATGTCCTACAGGTCTCCAACGTGAAAGGAAGGATGGTGACAACTCTCAACAACGAGCTCGTCTGTGTTCCCAATGTGGAGGCAATTCTGGAGGACTTTGAGGTTTTGGGAGAAGGGCTGGTCAAAAGCGTGGAAGCTCGTACAGAGAAATGGACTATCTGAGGCCACTGAGAGGTGTCAGAGGGACCTGTCCTGAAGCAGAGTTGGTTCACTCTGGGACTGTTCCTTTTTATAAATCAGTCCTAGGAAGAGCTTTCAGCTTTTTAAATCCCAGAACTGTGTGTTTTACTCTATTTATCTTTATATGCCTTGTTCAGAAAAGCAGAGCCTGTTTTTGTTTTCAAGAATACAAATGTCTTTTTATTTTGAAGAAAATATAAAGATGGGATAAAGATTTTGAAAGTGTTCCTGTTCACTGTAGGAAACAGAGCTGTGTTCACGTGAAAAGGTCAAGGCTGAAAATTCTGGCTGAGGTGTGCATTGGGAAGGCACTTTCCTAGTTAGAGAGTTGTTAGCAGCTGCTGTTACTCTAGTACTTAGCAAAACCAAAGAAATACTGAGCCATTCAAAAATGACCAAGTTACTCAATTCAGCCTTGGTGATGCCCATGTTGTGTGCTGTTTCCAATGCTGGGCTCCCCAGTAGAAGAGAGACACAGACACAGGGGAGCAGGTCCTGTGAAGGGCATGGAAGATATTAAAGGGGTTGAAGCCTCTGTCATATGAGGAGGGGCTGCAAGATTGCTGGGATTGCTCAGCCTGGAGAGGAGAAAGCTTAGGGGATCTTACCAATGGGTATAAATACCTGATGGGGGAGTAGAGAAGATGCTTCTTAGTGATGCCTGGTGAGGGGATGGGAGTCATAAATTGAAATGCAGGAAGTTGTACTTAAAATGTTTTGGGTTTTTTTATGAGGGTAGTTGAACACTGGCACAGTTTGCTGAGGAAGGCGGTGGAGTCTACATCCTGGAAGTAGTCAAAATAACTGGACATGGTCCTGGGCAGCTGTGTGTTCGTGACCCTGCACTGAGCAGGGACTTGGACTAGACAATCTCTAGAGGTGCCTTCCAACCTCAGCTGTTCTGTAGTATTTCTCTTGTCGGAAATGATCACGAGACTCCCGATGGGGAAAGAGAGAAATAAGAGGGAGCAAATGCACTAGTTCCATCCCCTGTTCTGATGGAGGCAGCATGCATGTTCCAACACCAAATCATGGGTGAATCACATACAGAGTAAATAAAACAGAGTTGGTGACAGCAGATATTGCAGAAACCAAAAATAGATCAAGCTTGGGATGGCAAGTGGGTGTTCAGGCAGTTTGATAACTGTAGACAGTTCCTGATTTGCGAGGAGCATTTCAGATGGGATGTGAAATCTGTTGCTTCAAGACCTACCAGCCTCTCCCCCCCTTTGGAAGTAGGTCCGAGGTTTTGTGGAGGAGATTCATGACGTGGTTTTCAAATGTTTTCTCTGAAGCATTCCCCACCACGGGCTGTGGTGGAGAGGCAGCACCAGGCTGAGATACTGCCTACCTAGTGCTCGTTCACCTGGAGTTTGGAGGCGCAGCATATCCTATGGGATAAATATATATGGGCAGCATCCCTGGTTTTGGGCTGTGGGTCTGTCTGCTGTATTAGAATCACAAGAAACAATTTTCTCTCCTCCCTGTGCCAGTGGCTGAGGGAGGCTGGAGGTGAAACCCTTTGCCCATCCTTTGCTCGCAAGAGCTCTTTCAGAACACCAAAAATGAAAACACCAAAAGCACTTAGTGGGCAAAAGAGATGTCAAACCTGAGAACAAAGCAGCACTTTCTGTTGCTACCGTGACCCCCACAGCCTAAGAAGCTGCTGACAGGCCCATTAGCAAACACGATGCAGGCAGTGATTTCGACAGGTTTCAGAAGTAGTTAATTGAGGATTACTTTTTAAGCTGCTCTTTGTTCTGTTTTATCATCCTTGAGATGTTGGAGTCGCCCATTCTGCCTTCAGCGATGGCTGTAATTTTCCTGGGTAGTCAGAGTGTTCCTGCTCTTCGTGCCTGCCTACCCTCACTCCGAGTGCTGCGGGTTGACATTGGGATCCTGTAAATTTGCCCTCACAATGGTCGGACAACACTTGAGTTGCCGCACCGGTTGCTCGTTCCCTCCACGCCCGTCCTGCCCTCGCTTCTCCCCTTGCTGTGTGTTGCAGATGCAAGTGTTTTTGGGCCGGGGTGCTCTGCTGGCTGCGTCTATCCGTGCTTTTCCCTAGGGCAGAGGTGTGTGCTGAAGCCTGCATTAGCTCACCGGGGAACAGAGCTCTTCTAGCCCTGCTGCTGCACCGGGCGGACAGAAGTCTCCTGCTCCCCTGTCCTCAGGGCTGCTGCAGGACACAGCCTCTCACTGCTTATTCTCTGCCTGGCAATAGTTACAGAGAGGTGGTCTCTGCTTTTGCTGCTGTGCAGTGCCGCAATCCCCCCCCGCCTTGTCCTCCCCAGCCCACCTGCCATGGTGGGGTATCTTGTGAGGTATGTGAAGGATATACCCTCTTTTTTAAAAGCACCCTCTGGTGCTTTTATCGGCTTCTGTTGCACTGCCAGGTATTGTATTGCTGCTCTTTTTCCCTTTTGCCTTTAAAAAGGCGTAAAACTATGCATAGCTTCAATCTACTGTCTATTGGATCTCCTCTCTGCTTCTCCATCCTTGGGTAAAACACCTCCTGCCGTTTGCAGCAGGGGGCCAGGAAGTGTCCAGGCGAGCCTTCTGCAAAAATAACGTTGCCATTTTAACTGATGATAAATGAACTCACTCGTAACCAAGCCCTTGTGCAGGTACCAACCTGCTCGTGTTTCACAAGGTAACGCCACGGTGCTCAGCAGCCAGATGTGAGCCTAGGTCAGGCCTGTGCTGCAGATGTTTCCTGGGGTAAAAGTCTGGTTTGGTGACAGGTATTGGTATCTCAGCAAAGGCCTCGAAATAAATGCACTGGAGACTGGCAAAACTGACTGCTGCTGACCCAGCTTACGTCACCTGGAGGGGTTTCATCTGTGTCAGCAAGAGTTACCCAAGTAATGCATTATCCCAGCTGTGCTTGCAGTGCTCTTCATTTTGCCAAAGCCGTGGTTGATCCATGGGCTCGTGCCTCCTCTTCCAGAGGATGAGTAACTCCTCAGTGCCCCAAATCTCTCCCAGTATCCAAATATTTAAAGGTACCTTTGAGCCATTATGGAGCTCTTGTTTGTACGGTCAAACATTGCAAATGTTCTGGGTCATGTTTTATCATCGGCTAAAGTCAGACCCCTGTGGCCAATGTGGGTGGATAAAATCATTTTGAAATTTAGCTGGAAAGCCTGTGGATGCTCTTTGGGAGTGGGTGTTGGTGCTATCTGGCTTGAGCAATGGTTGGTAACTAAAGCAAAATGCAAAGCACCTCTGCCTCAGGAGCGGAGGGTCCCTGTGGTCTGTAAAGGCAGGATCCAAAGAAAAGGGAGGTGTCAGGTACATGAGAGAGGACAAGCGAGGTCTCCGTTGCAACTTTATCTCCCGTTGCCCTATTTACTACTCCTGCTGGTGCGCTGTGACTAATTGCTATTGTGAAAGCTGGGGTAGGGCCTGGGTTTCCACTTCCAGAACAGTGAGTGGGCACTGGCTTGCAGGTGTTTGCTTAGCTGTGGTCCCGTCCATAAAGGAGAGCTGTACAAACACAGAGCTGCTCTGGAGAGCCCGTGCCTTGTCGTGTCGCAAGGGGAAAGGGAGGGAAGCGCTGGAGCTGGGGTGACAGCAATGGGCTTTGACATGTTGCCACTGCTACTGTCTTGATTTTGCAAAGCTGTCTTTCAGGCTCCTTCTTTACAGTGAGTCTCCTGTGAATGGGGGTGAGCACAAATGGGGAGGTGTTTCCAAGCACAAGGCCGGTCTGGAGTGACGTTGATAGGCTTAGTGGATGGATGGGGTCAGCCAAGACAGGGCTCAGCAGTATCTGCTTTCTAGTAGACCTCTCCCAAAGTTGGTGTGTCTTCTTGGGTCTTTACCTCAGTCACCCTTTGGGCATCTTTCTCCTTGCTCATGGTTTGCAAGGATGCTCTCTGAAATAGTGGTTGTAGGGAGGCAGCTGGTGCTGGCCCAAGAGAAGAGATGATGGATGGAGCCTTTCTTCTGCCACCAGACCCTGGCTTGCCCTTGGCAGCTTTGAGTGGCAATCACAAGATTTATGAAGGGAAGCTGGGTAAACAAGTTGATGAAACAGAACTGGGGGGATAGGGTGATCAAAGCAGGTTGAGTGCTGTGGGGTTTTCCTGCTCATTGAATTGTTCAGACCTTGCTCCTCATGGTTGCTGAGGTCTTTTCAGAGGTTGTTTGCGTTCTCTGTGGCTGGCTGACTTCAGGCTGATCCCCTAGAGGCAAGAAGCATGCGTCTTCTGGAACATAAAGGCACTTGTAGAGAGCATTTTTCTTGGGCCCCCACAATCACCGGTCATTTTTTAAACCCTAAATTTCCATGGCTGGCTGGGGAAGGATCAGGAGCCTGGGTTTTGGCACAGCAAGGGAATATCCTCCCCTAGTTTGCTGTTCCCACAGTGACCGTGCTCCTTAGCTGGGGCTTGGCTTGTTTGCCAGGATTTCTGTTACCAGGAGAAGGCTCTGGACCTGAAGTCATTTTTCCTGGCCAAGACAGCAGCTTTTGGGAACCATGGGTAGCAAAGTGGCAGCTCTTGATGTGCGTGTCTCCCCGGGAAAGCAGGGTGACGCTGCTCAAGGGGTGAGGGTGGCAACTTGGCAAGTGCAGGGTGCACCACAGGGAAGGGAAAATCAAAAGGTGGGGTGAAAATGTGAGAAATGTGGTCCAGAAAGTGTATGGGGCTGGGAAGGAAAGGGCAGTTTGGCAGTGGGGGAAGCGATGCTGGTTGCTGGCACCCCAGGGCCGTGCTGGGGGAGCAGGAGGAAACTGCAGGGTGCTCACACCATATGAACTGGTGCAGAGGTGCTGCCTCCGGTGCCTTGAAGTCTTTGCACCAAACCCAGGTTCTAAAGGCTCAGCAGCCACGGGGAGAAGAATAAGCATCAGCCGTGAGCGTGGTGGGGAGGTGCTGCGTGGCTAGCAATGCCGCAGTGGGCTTTTGCAGGGAAACAAACCAAGGATGCCTCTCCCCTTTACTCCACTTTCCAGCTGAGCACCATGACCAGGCTCAGCAAAAACACTGCCTCTTCCCACCAGAGAGCGAGAGAAGGGGCATCTGCTCCTCAGGTCTTCCTTTGCAGTCACTAACGAAGGTGATGACGGCTGTTGTTGGCTGTGAGCTGGCACAGAAACGCTCGTGCCTCGTGCTGGTAGCTCCTGTGCTTCCCAAAGTACCAGACAGACTGTTCCTGTTCATGTTGCTTCTGGATGTGCCTGGAAAGGCTGAGGACAATGCCAGCAAAGGAGC